TTTTGCAAAACATACCAAATTTACGTTGTTTGAAAGTCAATTTGTTATGTAATTTACTTGATGGTCATCAATGGGAACAAATCATTCGTAATTACTTGCCTAAACTTAAAGTATTACGACTTAGCATGAGAAATGTACTTTCTTTGAATGAAAATATAGAAGAACAAGTTGATGAATTAATTAATTCATTTCGAAGTTCATTTTGGATTGATGAACGTAAATGGTTTGTTCGATGTTTCTCTTCAGAAACATTCATAAATCTTTATAGTTTATCTAAAGGATGTTATTATAATTATGAAAAGCCTTCAGATTTATGGAGATCAACATATCCACATGATAATCAACAAAACTATTACAATGACCTAACCATTATCTATGATTATACATTTTTTGATCAATCCTTTCCGACAAACATTTATTTATCTAAGATTAAGTTTCTTGTCATAAAATTTCCTATTAATAATCAATTTTGGTCCATTGTTCCAAATCTAAAAGAACTCTCCGTATTGATTATATCTTCTTATCGTGATATATTTCAAACTGAATTTCAACGGTTACTAAATCGAGCACCACATCTCGATCATTTACGTATTGATCAAGAGAAATCATTACCATTGCAAAAATCATTATTTAATGATACAAGTACATCGATTCCTCAATTGTCTTTAGAAAATTATTACTTCAATGAAGAAGAATGTATTGCATTGACTCATTCATCATTGATTATTCAATGTCAAGTACTTTCTATTCAAGTGATATCTCGTCAAAGTATTATTATTCATGTCAAAAATATGAAGAATCTTCGACGAATAGATATTCAATGTGAAGATGATCTTCATGATGGAAAAACACCCAACAAACATGATCTGGTTCAATGGTTAAATGATCATTTATCATCAATGTATCTAATTTTCAGAGATTCAGACGATACGAATCGTATTCGAATATGGATTTAATAGTAACAGCAACAACAACTATACCAAGTGATGAATTACAAATAGATATTATTTAGACAGATTGTTCAACTATAAACATATAATCTTTTTGTCAAAAATGTTTATTTTTGCTAATAAAAGAGATATACATAGGATAACATTCTAGAAATTTTTTTTTTTTGCTACTATCGTCCAAAAATAAGAATTTGTATAATATCAAAATGAATATATATATGGGAAAAGCTGTGTAGAATAGATTTACATTTGAGAAGATTGAAGATAGTGACATTCAAAATGAGACTATATTAGAAAAAAAATTTTTAGAAAAAGGTAAGTCTTCAGCTATACTCAAAATTAATGAATTCAATTCCAAGGAGATAATTACAATGTCTAATTTGTAAAACAAAGATATCCAATCAATAAGAAAGATTGTAATAAGATGAAATGCTGATTTTTTTAAAAGATATGTAGAAAAAAAAAAGATTTCTGGAATTTTATGCTATGTATATCTTCCTTATTAGTAGGGATATAGACATGAAAATTACGGTAATATTCGCCTGGTTACAAGAGATTGGATGGCAACGTTTGAACGGTTTTGGATTTGTTAGAAGTGAAGGGTGCGGGTGTGGATGTTTATTGTCACTATTATTCACAATCATACCCATATCCACACCCTAATGCTTGAGGCAGATTAAATGTTTCAATCACTTAATACATTGTATTAAGAAACAAAATATACCACAAGATGTGACGTGAAAAGCTCTACAATTTATAAAGAACAATTTATTTTTCTCTTTGCATGATTTTTTCGGGGTAGCGAACATTGGTCACACAGAATTTTTTTTTTGACAAGAAGTGCACAATTAAAATAAGCTTTACTTTGTAGATTGTAGAACTTTTCACGCTACATATTGTGGTGTATTTTATTTTTCAATATAACGTATTAAGTGATTGAAACATTTAATTTGCCTCACCCGTTAGTGAAGTTTTACACAAAAACAATTCTTATCAAAATTTTATTATTATGGTACCAGTTGAATAGGGATGAAATAGCACAAAAAAAATAGAGCTTCATTTTCTCTATCACCTCATAAAAAAAGAAAATTTCTTCAAGCCTTCTATAGAAAATTGAGATGCGGCTGCTACTACTTTTGACTATCTCTAAGTACAGAAGAAAAAGAATAGAATGTCATCACTTCATCAAATAATTACAACATATCCAATCAGTCTATTCTATTAGAAAAGAATGATCAACAAATATTTGTTTATGTATATGTAATATTTTCAGTCGTTTATTATCGATCAAGAAACGTAAGTTAAAAAAACATCTTCTGTTAATATTACTTTTTCATCTAATATATCAATTTCTTCGATCAAAAAATTCTCTAATAATTTATTCTATGAAATATTTGATTTCCTTGATGCATTTAGAATCTATCAAGTATTTTCAAATCTTAATCATCGTTTTCAATGACTACTTGATTCTTCATCTCTTTTATTTAAAATAAAATCTGTTTACCCAACATTCGAGAAAACATATATGAATAATTTCAAACAAATCATGCAATTTACTAGACAACAAGTATTTTCAATTGACTTGTCTTTTCGAATCACAACTAGATGTATTTATGTTACTTCTTCCCAAATTAATTTCTTTACCTTATGTTGTTTCTCATTTTTCATCAATATGTTCAATGTTTTAGTAGATGAAAGTGATTTTTATGGAGTAATTATGATTTCATCTATGTTGAAATATTACGAATATACAACAAATAATTTCGATTTTTCTATCTCATGACTTATTACTACTGATAAACAATTTATTCCTATCAAAAGTCTTTTTATTAATCATTATTATATGTTCAAAGAACTTGCTATTATAACATCTTATAAAGCTCAATTTCGTTGTCTAAATTTTCGATATATCTATAAAGATAATCCAATTGTGAGGTTTATGGGAGTGGGCATGCATATTATATTTATTCCAAACGTTCACCCTCAAAAATTCCTTGTTCAATTGTTAAAATTCATACATTAAAAGTACTATCACCCAAATCATATAATACGTAATGCAACAAGACGAACAATAATACCAATATCTTTTGTTGCTTAACGTTAAGAATCATTAAAATTATCTGAAACAGTGATAACAGCTTCGGAAACTTTTCCCAAGGTAATTTTCTGCAATTTCTTTCGTTTTGATGAGACTTCTTTAGATGGTTAATTTTAAGTTTTGATTTTCTGTTATGATTAATAACTTTCAATGGCCAATACTTCATATTAGTTTGTACATTTGAATCATTAAATTTTCAACCAATAAGTTATCTGGCATCAAAAAATCGTATTAGTTAGATTCACAGCTACTTTATCTTTCGTTTCATCACCAAATAAACATTTCGTATTCGGAAATACAACATATGACAGTGTTATTCATAAGAATTGTCATTTTCCTTTATTTACATTAAATTTAAAGTAAAGTTGATTAAAGAGAAAAAAAAACAAAGACTATTTGTCTCTATATCCAAATGAATCAAAAGAG